GACGAGCAGATTACTTCGCCGTAAACAACTTGGCTCACCAACCCCTCCGGTTTCTCCCCGCCTAGATGGGAAACCAGCGTACCACTTTGCATCGGCACAAGCGTAAATAGAGATACATAACGTACATTGTAGTAACGTTGTTGTAGTTCTGCGCGCGACCCTATCCTAAATGTTCGCTCTTTCGAAGAAGAAAGATCCCCCCTCTTAGTGAAGGGCCGAATGTGTAGTTTGATATCGTGTTTAATGTGCTGCGGGAGATGTTGCTGTTTTCAATTAAGTTGAAATATTGTAGAATATTTTGCTTCTGAGTAACTGAGAGAGAGTAACTGAGCGCAGCGCGGCTAAAGAATATGCGGTGCTATAATAATATTAAGTTTGTCAATAATTTAACATGATCATATTTTACATAAAAAGCAAAAAAGGAAGAGAGAGAGAGAGAGAAATTATCTACTTTAAAATAATTTTCATCAATAAAAAAACAAATACTGTTTAAATTACCTTTTTGTAACTATATTGAAAATATTTGAGTTTACAATATTATATCGCAACGATCTGTACATTAAAAATACAGAATAAAATCAAACTCAGCAAAATTAGAAATGTTCTAACATTTCTTTTTAACTAAATCAGCTTGATAAAGAGAGAGAGAGAGAGAGAGAGAGAGCAGTCAAGTAGTTGACTTTCTGTCGCAACAATGAATGTCGCGAGTAACACACCCTCGGCGTCATCTGTACAAAAAACTATCTAATCCTCTTGATTCACGGTCGATGCCATCACTAAATGCACACATACATACACACACCTCTACTTCTCTCTCTCTCTCTCTCTCTCTCTTTGTCTTTCTTTCTCTCTTGTATCGTTCTCGGAAGCTCGCTTTTGCGCCCTTTATCCCTCGAGGCCATTCTCTAACTCTCATTCTCTTTATCGCGATACACACTCCGATACAAGAGGGTTTGCCAAAGGGAGCCACGGTCTTTAACTCGCAAATGCTTCGCGTTCACTTGGTCGTATTGGATTCTAATAGGGATACAACACACATACACATACACATCGCGCGCGCGCGCGCGCACGCGCGCATCAAGAAAGTCATTCATGTTGAAATCCCTATTGAGCACGTGTCTCGTTGTGCAGCGTTACAATCAGTTTTAGTGAGTGTTTACGAAAAGGGCTTTAACTAAATTATATACGTGTGCGACAGACATCATTACCAATTTCAAAGCACAAATTAACGTCGTAGATAATCGTTTACTTTTCAGTAAAGAGAAACAGTCACAAAACACAATATCATGACACAAGAGAGCTGAAACCGAGAGCGCGACTATTGTTGATAACATTATTGATAACACGTTATCTTACTGTTTTGTTGGCGTGGCGACATTGATACGAAGTGATTTCAATTTATATTTTGTCAATAATGTTATGTCGTCTGTAAATTAAGTCTTAGTCATACATACGGAGGGATAAGTCAATAACTGTTTCCGGACGAAAAACGCATCAAACGTTTCCATCGAACAAAATACATCTCTATCAAGCGTATATATATATATTATTACGTTATTATCATATAACAATAGATTTCCACATCGTTCTAGTAAGATACTATTGCCAACATGTTGCGATTCGGAAACAGCATCGTACCTAAGCGCACCCCATCACCGTTGGCGAATCGCGGACTGTCGCTGAGATACGGGCAGTGAAGGGAAAGACGCGCCTCTCATGAATCCGGCGAAATGTGCAAAAAATTCCGAGCACTGTCATAAATAACTTCATACATCGAAGCGTTTTTATTTTTCTCACACATTTTAACAAGTGTTGACAAAAAAAAAATGCGCACACTTTTTCGACGCAGTCGTTATGTTCAGTCCTAATGACGAATAATACACGTTTCCAAACTTACGCTAACACTGACGATCATTCTTATTTAAAATTCGCATTTATAATATTTTAAAATACAATTTTTGCTTAAAAATATCGCAAACCCGGTTCATATTTGCATTCCATCCCCTGTCGTTTAGTATAACTCGGATTACACATCACCGACGAATATTTCATTGCGAGAATTTATGCGAAGCAATCGAGCAGGGAAAAATCTCCTTTTCCGTACTGTTTTCCGTGAGACGAATATGGGAGTCACATTCGAGCAACGACGTTTCGGTTGATCGAATATATTAACGTGCGGGCAATTTGTACAGTCTGACGGATATAACCCCCGAGAACCATCGGTGGCAAAATGTATTCCAGAGATTACACCGCCCGAAATCCGTCTCGCTATTAGACGGAAAAAAAAAAAAAAAAAAAAAAAAAAAGAAACGCATCGATAAGATATACGTTTCGATAATGAAAAAGTTATAAATCTGGAATTGTGAAATGGCGGGCCGATATAAATCTTCATCGGGCAGCACTGCCAAATCCCTTCGTGTGTACCACGCAAATCCCTTTCCAATATTGAAAAAAGTGATAGGTCCAGTATGTAATGATCCGGTATTACCCGAAACCGCGAGGGAGCGCTATCGATCTATTGTTAGTATTCTGTTTGCATCGAACCTCTGTGTCGTTTTGTACATCCTCCCGCGCGTATCTAATTATAAGAAAACAGTCTCGACAAAAATATTCATATATGCACAAAATTTTGACGTATTTTGTAACAGTGTCCACGCACTTTTTATTTGACTTCAAAAAATCGTTTTATTTTTTTACTTGACGAGTCGTATACACGTAGCAAACTTTTCTTTTTCTGTAAATATCGTATATATATATGTAGCTTCGTTAACTGATAATTTTACATTTATTAAATCACCAAATATTTAACTGTGCAAGTCTAATCAATGACACAATCTATCTCTTCTCTATTATCTAAGCACGTGCGAGTTTACGCAAACAATGTAAATTGGTTCGCAATCATCGCGTTTCACCTAAAAAAATTCAAAAGCAAATTTATTGCTCAGTACCACGCGATAATTAATCAAGGATAGTGATATAAACAAGCCAATTTTTTTCCTCGTTGGTTTTGTTTTATCTCCTTACACAAGTTAACTAGTCAAATATATGACAAAACAGAGCACGCGGGTATATATTGTCGTAATATTTCGAAAAATGCGCCGGCAGTCCGGGGGCAATCTCGCCCTCGAAGATGGCATATACGCGGAGGTGAATCGCCTCTTCCCGAGGAAATCCGAGGTAATTGAATGCTAACCCTCCTCACCCCCGCGATGCGTACCCTCCCTGCGCGACCCCTTCTCTCTGTCGCTTCCCTCATCTACCTCCCTCCCATCTCGCAAGCTTCAGGGGGCGCCGCGCTCCCCGTTCGCCATCACTCACCGACACAGACTTGTAGCTTTCAATAAAAATGTAAATATGGCGGCGTTGAACGAGCCAATGACAGCGCTACATCGACGCCCGTGAGGACATCCGTGAGGGATAGATAGATAGAGAGAGAGAAAGAGAGTGAGAGAGAGAGAGAGAGAGAGAAACAAAGAGAAGGAGAAAACCCTACCTTGCGGCAGGGGTTGAAGGTTTCGAAAGGGGAACTGGCTCTCTCGGAGGGTCGAAGATGGCGAAGGAAGAGGTGGAGGAAAAGAGAAGGAAGGGTGAGAGAGGGAGACTTCGGTTCGAAGCGGAACGCCGAAGGTGGAAGGCGAACAGGCGTGGTAGAGCTTTACGGAAACCAAAGATAGATGCTAGGAGAAGGAGGGGCAGGAAGAAGGAGGGAAAGAGGGAAAAGAGCCCCGCGGAGAACGAAAGAAAAAGAAGAAGAAAGAAGAGGAAAAGAAAGAATTCTCTCTCTTTCTGTCCTTTTGCTTACCATCATCGTGGCCTCACCCATCGAGTTTCACTCGTGTTTCATCCGGCGTTCCCCGGCGTTTCCTCTCCTTTCTTCTGGCGATAGAGAAAAGGTAGCGGGAAAAGGATGTTGAACGCACGCGAGAGAGCAACACCGAGGATGACGCAGGTGCCGCAAAGCTTGACACGTCTCCGGCTGTTTTGTCACCTTCTTTTATCCTTCGAACTTTTTTACCAGCTACCTCGTTAGATACCCTCCTTCTTCCCTCTCTCTTTCTCCCTCTCTCTCTCTCTCTCTCTTTTCCGTCTTTTCCTATCTGTTCTCTTTATCCTCGCGAACGAAACGTGTTGATGGAGTAAGCTGAGCGACGAGAGACGCTTTTTAAAATCACGCCTTTATGCGAACAAGTCACTTTTTTGCTGACGTCGTTCTGAAAAGCCTCCCTCCTCTTGGTCGACAGGCAATCGCGGCGGATTTCTTTTTTTTTTTTTTTCTTTTTTTCCGAGGGAGATTTTTCGACCGCGGATTATTCGGAAAGTGACGCACGCAGATTTGCGTTTCCGCGCCGAGGTGAAGTTTTGATCGATCTTTCGATGTCACGAGCGAAAACAAATGTCGTTTCGCGCGCCTTCTTTTGTTTCCTATATTTTTTTTTTCGTCATTTAAATATATAGAACAGAGAAATAGAATGATGCTTTAAGCGCTACTTTTGTGCGACTGCAGTTTAAGTTTATAATTTATCGTAGTATTGTTTCTCCAAACTTGCAATTCAAATAAAGCACTTGTGTGCGACACAAAGTCGAAAGAGAAATGCAGTAGCTCCTCTTAAACTGCAGAATTTGGGAACCGAAGCGCGAACATATATCAAAAGATGAATCTAGATAACTTCCTTTTGGTATTAAACCATAAATTTTTTCTCACTTTGTCCGGAACGAACAACAAGAGAAAAAAACTTTATCAAAGAAAAGAGTCAGTTATAAAACTGTCAACTTTTATGGCTTATCTTTTTTTGTAGTAAAAGGGACATATACACGGACATATAAGAAAGAAGGTGATTCTCTGACAATTTTTAGAACTCTTCGATATCTGAGCGTCAAGTTTGATTTGACAGTTAACGAGAATTAATAAGTAAATAACGAGAAAACAGTTAATATATATAAGAAATACTGCGCTTGCACCAATTTTAGCAAAAATGACGAGTAATACAGCGAAATGTTACCTTGACTTGGGATTCCGACATCCCGAGGGCGTACGCCAATTTAGCACGTTCCGGTCCAGCCAGATACTTGGTCTGCTCGAAGGTTTTTTCCAGAGCAAAGATTTGCTGTCCACTAAACGTGGGTCTCGTGTGCTTCTTCTTACCGCCTTCGTGTTCCCCGGTGCCGCCGCCCGTACCCGTCATCGCTTGCTGACAGCCCAGCTGTTGCGACACTGCAACATTCGCGTCACTCGATGAGTAGCTCCTGAATATCCTTTTCGCGCGCTTCGCTGCAAATGGAGTAATTAGACTTGGTTGTCGGCATCGTAAAAAAAATCGTTTACTTTGTTCAATTTATATCCTCTTTTGATATATAGCAAAAAGTGAGTAAACTAAAATTTTTAATCTCTCTCTCTCTCTCTCTCTCTTATGTGATTACTTTAAATATTTTGCTGTTAATATTTTTTTTTTTATTTTGAAAGAAACTATCCTTGGCGCGCGCGAGCAAAAAATTTATATTCTTTTTTTTACGAAGCTTTTAAATATTGTAATCGTCTGCCGAATCACTTTGTGTAAATGTACGTAATCTTTCTTTTATTCATATATTAGTTGAACAATTTTCCGCCAGTTTTAGCGAGCACCAATTTCTGGTATTTTGTATGCCGCGGCACCGCGGCCGTGTTAAAAACGAAAAACAGACGACGACGCATTGAAATTGAAGCGTCGCGAAAAACCACAGCGAAATTTATTGCATTTTTCGGCAATCACACACGGATCCGATCCGTGAGTCGTGCCATCGTGTGGATATTCTATCGGGCCCCTCGTGATCTCTCTTCCACCTCGCAGAATGAAAAGGGGAAACTCCAAGCCCCATCTGTGACTTTCTGTCGTGACAAGTCATAGGGAAATATTGCCATATTTTACTTCGGTTATACATACCAACACCCATATAGAGCGGATTATATGATAAGCGAGAGTGAGTGCATATATTACATCATTGTATTTTCTTAATAAATTTGATGTCCTTACACACATACATACACACACACACACACACACACTTGAAATATGATAATTACATATATAACACAATGAAATTTGTTAGAAAAGCACAAAACAGTGCACAATTATTCTCATTTATTTTAAAATAAGAAAAATATATCTGCGACATAGATATCTCGCGGTATAATTAGGTTTCATGTTATAACTGGAAGTGTATTTCATTTTAACCGCAGTTTGAAATTAATTCGCTGCTCTTGGAATTAATTACGGTTTTATAACATTAGTAATTATTACTGCGACTACTTAATCTCTTTCTTTCTCTCTCTCTCTCTCTCTTTCTCTCTGTTTGGATTAGCGATTGTATGATAGTTAAAATTTTATTTAAGGAAAACAATTTGTTGTTATTTTTTTATTACATATGTACAGATATCTGGCGCACAGATTCAAATCTCTAAAATAAATAACGTCAAATCAATATAAAATAAACGATTTTGTCCTGTTCGCGCCTACTGATCACTCGTAATCTTTGGCTACTCCGTCGAGCTGTGCAAATCTTAATTAGATCGAAAAAAGGAAAGTTGGAGAAAATTTTCGAGGGTAATCAAGAGGGTCAACCGGAGAGAGAGAGAGAGAGAGGGAAGGGGGAGAAAGCGACTTTCGTGGAAATGAGGGGGTCGCACACGGTCCGATGTGGCATGTGGACGCGTATGTACAAGGGAGAGAAGCGAAAGGGATTCGGAGGGGGTAGCAAAAGGAAGGGTCGACGCGCGTCGTGACGCGCGCTACAATGTGGGTTGTGGGACTTTAATTTAATAAAGCAATTTGTAACAGAATACGGAACGAGGCAATAATGGCCGGTCGGCGGGGAGGGTTCTAATGAGCTGCTTACCGCACTCCAACCCCCGGTGACTTCGATGGCGATGGAAGAGGTGTGTGTTGTCTACTGTTAGAGATATTCCCTTATTTGTCCTACTAAGCCGTCGCGCATATTTCTGCGACCACCCCCGCAGAAGTCCAAGTTTTTGTTCAAATTTGTATGCGTCATACACCTAGATATACATATATACCTTGCTATAAGGTACACGACACGATATCGTGCGATTTCTTTTACATGGTAAACTTTTAGATTCGCCCCGAGATCTAAAGCATTATCATTGTTATCGGTACAACAAAAGTTTTATTATAAGAGATTTATATTGATAAAAACGGATTTTGAAATGAAACTTTAAACCAAACCGTTAACTAAAACAACTTTCTTGAATTTTTCAAACAAATATAAACACATATCAATATATCTACAGATACAAACGCACGCATACATATAGCCAGTTATGTCCGGTTATTCGAACGATTTATTGTCCGACTTTTTTTCACAAAATATTCTCTTTTTCCTCACATGGGAATTCAAACCGATAATATAAAGTTTTAACTCATTCATATCGACCATACCAATTTCAATTGAATTCGTTCAATGTGACTAGTTTTTTTTAATAAGGAACTGGTGGATAAATAAAAATTAGAACTTTAATTTTTTTAAATAATAAATTTATGTGTGTATTCAGATTACATGTTGTTTCTTCTTTACATAAATAAAGTGAGTAGACATAAATATTTACCGACAGTTCGTCATTACGGCAATCAGATAATTCTTGTTTTATTTCTAGTCATATTTCACTCATTTTTTCAATACGTCCAAGAATTAATCTTTCTAGTTTTATGTAGTACACAGAAAGAAAGAGAAAGAAAGAGAAAGAGAGAGGGTGGAGGAAGAAAGGGGTAAAAGGAGAACTATGACCATAATTTAATCAGCCGATTTCGAGTGAACAAGTGACATGCGTGTCAAGCAGTATATGCAAGCGAAATCGTTACGGATAATGCGTATATATCAATATCGCGCCTCCACGTATCACACATATAACACGCACACGTATTCAAACGAGCGTGACACAGCCACCGCGGATAACGCTTCGATGTCCGATTAGACCAAGTATCGGCACGGCAAATTGATGCGTCCGGGCGGCACAGTGTCGATGTAAATCAGCGGCAGGTGACCATATCGGCGTGCACGCTGCGACGTTTCGAAAAAAAAAGAAGCGATCAAAAACGAGACACCGCACAGCCATTCGTAATATTCGTTATCGGCGAACGGAAGTTCGAGTGTGCGAGGTTCGACGCGCTTGATTGTTCGATTTATACAGAGTAAGTGAAATCCCTGCGCGCGTAGTGTCACGAGCCGTTTTATTCATCCGAGAGAGAGTTTGGAGAGAAACAAATCATTCGAGGTAAAGATATGTCACGCATCGAACAAAACAAGAAAGATTGTTGAGTTTTATTATAGTAAAATTTATTTATTTTTCCACAAAATGTTGGAATATTTGGTTTCACTTAAGATAAATATGTCATGCTCGAACTTTTTCATATTCATCAAAGAATTATACATATAGAAATACATTTAGAAATTCATTCTCTCGGAAGTGTCTGTAATTTAATTACAATAGACATCTATTTCAATTATAATACCGCTAACTTCAATAAATAAACAATGCAACAGTTTTATCAAAAAATTATTTACAAAGTCAAAGAGATAATATAGGCATGGTTACTTGAGAATGTACTTTTGTAATTGAATCGGATATCGCTCAACTTGTAGAAAATATGATCGGGCACTTGTAAAGGGGCTGCTCGCTCCATCGACGACGTGAATAATAACGGCGCACATCGAGTAGACTGGCGTCAACTGACAAGAGGAATGCTTTATCGACTGTACAAAGTGTGTTGTCACTAAAAGTAAATGAACGCTTTATAGTTACGTCGACTATTCCGCCACACTGATTACGCGAGATCCATTATGTAGCGCTAAAACAATCATTATTTAAAATGCTTAAGAAATCAAATTTATTTTTCAAGACAATATCTGAAACAAATTTGTTGCCAAAAAAAAAAAAGCTAATAGTCAGATACGAGATGTATGTATAAAGTATGTTCGAATAGTAATAATATACATTTGGACCGGTGTAAATCGAAATCTCGTCGTGTCAGCGACGTTTTCATTATAGTGTCTGCTTACGTGACGCTCATTCATGTCCCATAAAAACCCATCCAATAAGAAAGCGAGGAGGAACAAAGCAGGGATGAATAAAGAAGAATGTGAAAAAAGTGTGCGGAAAATAGCACGGAGGGAAAAACTACAGGAAGAAATGGTAGGAATAACATGTTATGGATATCTAAACAGAAGGAAAGTGAAAATGATCTCTCCAACGTTCTCGATGGGAATAAGAAAAAAAGTCGAACGAATGAATAGATGTTTGTTTTATATGTCCAGTAGAAATACTGGAGTATTATGTGAGAAAATTTTATATAAAAAATCCACTTCAATCATATAAAATTATAATATTAGTAAAACTTATTCAAAATATTTTTTTTTAAATATAAACGACAATTAATATTTAAATGATCGCTTTAGACGCTTTAGAATGTTTTAGATTATCAGTACGAGTTTCAAGTTTCATCAAACAAACATTTGCATCGTTTCATCCGCATTTGGTGTAGAAAAAAAGAGAAGTGATAGGAATAGATCAGGTTGTTTTATCTTGGGTATAGGTGTATCGCGATATATATATATATATATATATATATATATATATGATATATATGATATATATGATATATATATATATATAATGCGGGAACATAAATATAAATAGACGACGGTTCCCGCGGTGGTCGTTCGACGATTCCTCGCGAGGGCCATGGGCCATCAACGTTTTGCCCCAGAATATAAAATATACCGGGTAACTCTTACATTCTATACGGCCGGTTCTTCCAACGGACGGTAGAAAAAGCACAGGATGCCGCAGTTAAAATATTGCCGAAGTTATTCGCGCGAGTGTGGAAAACGTAACGTAGCCGAGGGAGACAAAGGGGGTGACGCGGGTTGATATTGCATATATATGATGATATCCTGAATCCACAGCGGACTACCGCTGCCACCCTCCTATTCGCCCTCATAGTACGTACAACACACTCTTTCCCGGCCGCGTGTGTCTACGCAGTGTGTTCTGCACGTTGTGCCCTCTCTCCCTTCCCGCTCCCCTCTCCCTTACATCGTGACGCACATCACGACAGCACATGTGCCACCCTCTGCAGTACGGTGTATCTTTCTTCGTCTTTCAGTCGTTCGTCGAAAGGTAGACGAGACGAGACGAGACGTAACATGACGTGTGTCTTTTTCTTTCTCTTTCTATTTTGTGATTTTTTCTCTGCGGTGCCCTTAATCGTCTTCTCGTAAAGACGAGGGTGTACACACGGTGAGCCATGTATACTATTGCTGGGGATGTTCCGGTATGTATGTCGAGGGAATCCCACACCGGCTAATTGAGCGTGAACCGTCCAAGTGCTCGAGGGACTACAAAGGGAGTCAAAAGGGAGTGTGTCAACACTTGATAACAATCGACTTATTACGCGATCGACGTTTTGCACAATCTTCTATAACATGTGCACATACTATTAAATATATTCTCATGTGTAGTTTATCTGTTTAAACATGACAAATATATATTGAAAACAAATTGATTTTGAATTTCCGTTATTTTTAAACGGGTTAAATATAAACACAAGGGATAATTGATAGAATTGCATTTTTTTGAAGAGACCAAAGTTCTCGTTCATCTACGGTGTTTTGTTTAGATAGTTGAATCCTCATGACTCCCTCATCCTACAACTTCCGTTCTCCTGTGCGGTTTCCACGCGTTTTTTAAATTTCTCCCCGTAGGCGACCCACGGATAAATCGCTTCAAACGACTTTCCGGGCGTGCCGTTTAAACGGAGACATATTCGGTAGCACGTGTTTCTTCACTTCGGCCCTGTGATTTTTCTGCCGCGAAAGCAAACACTTGCAGCTGTCAAATCCGCCACAACGATACTCGGACAAAGGTAACGAACACCCGCAGGCAGTTAAAACGTATGTTGGAAAAGCGCATATATAAATAATAACACGGATATTTTCTTTTTGTCAACAAACCAAAATTTATAATTCGCTTAGTACAAATTTATTCAAGCGTTAAACCATTTATACGTTTTTGAAAACTTTTCAACTTTACAACTTATCGAATTTGAAGATAAAAAATGTTTATGAATATTTTGTATGATATTGTAATCATTCAATATTGGAAGAAACACATATATATAGTGAAATACTCACATGTGTGTAATCTTGCCCGCCATGCGAGAGGATCGCTGACTAGACCCTGCAAACCCGGCCAATAGACAGCAGGGTGTCGTGGTTCCGTTCTTTGTTGAAATTGCCCGATACCTAAGAAAAAGTATTTCCATCAGGTTGATTTAACATTTTGTTTATTACAAAATCTGCGTATATATATATTTACATATATATACATACAAAAACTACTTTATATGATTTGATGTTTTTTTTTTTGATAAAAGCAGTGTATTATATACTTTCGTAATAATAACAAAGTGCATTTATCTCGAAGATTATATGTATATTGTATACGTATAATTAACTGATATTAAAAGTAAGCATGTGGGAGGGAAGCATAACATATGCTGTAGTTCGGTCAGTGCAGATAACGATATTGGATTTACGATAATTCAGATAGCACAGCACATATTGAAGTAATAATCGAAGAAACTCATAAAATGCAATGGTGAGATGTAAAATGAGAGCGCGTTTACTAACCGAGTAAAATAGCTTTCTCGGATCGATGTCGAGACCAAGCCGTTCCATTTTTCTACGTAAAACGCTTTATTAAGCTTCAGTTTTTTTTTTCTCCGCTCGTTTCCACATCTACGCGATTTCATTTCATATTTTCATTGCTCGCAATTTTCATACAACTCGCATTCATCCGGAATATGCAAACGGAATTTAAATGCCCCGCAATTTTATATATATATATATATATATATATGTACATATACCTATTTAAGTTGTACCTCACAATTTTCAATCTCGTTTTTTTCCTGAAATAATTAAATGCCAAAAATTGAGAAAATTTTACACTTTTTTTCTCCTCTTTTTCTTTCTCTCAATGGCTGGAAATCGAAGTAAATATCGACCGTTAACATCCGACAAAGTTTTTTTCGTAGATTAATTATTTTTATCATTTTCGCGCTCGTGGTGTGACGTAACAGTTTGATATGTGAAGTGTAAACAATTAAAGAATCTTTTAAGGCTCCGAAGTTTCCAAACTAATAAATATATATTCGGTCATGAGAGCCGTTCGCTAGGTGTTGTGCGGAAATTATACGTGTATATATACTACATATATACGTGTTCACGTGTAAATTTTTACACGTGAAATTCGAATTGTAATAACAATTCTAAAATTCATATAGGATGCTATACTTGCATCTCGTATATGAGAGATCCCAAATACCCCCCTAATTGAAATTAAATTTATATTGCG